GGTCTAGTGGAAGGTGTCCCTGCCCATGGCAGGGGATTGGAACTAGATGATCTTTGAGGTCCTTTCCAGGCCAAAGCATTCTGTGATTCTATGTCCAGATTGCAGCCTGGTGCCGTGAGATGCTCAGTTGTGGCTCACACGACACAGCCAGGTCTTCAGGGCTTAATCCACGTTGGTTTATGCCAATGCACAGGAGAAGCAAGTGTGCTGAAACCAGCAAGAGTAGGTTTGTACAACAGTGTGAACAATGGGGATCAGGATTTGGTGTTTCACGTCAGCCTCAAATCCAAGGTGTCTGCTGGCATGGTGAGAGCTTTGCATCCGCTTCGCTGGGCACTGCATCACTCCTGGAGCAGAGCTGAGCAGTGCCTGCGGCAGGTGCCTGTGGCTCCAAATACCCCGAACAGCCCTCCCCAGCTCTGAGCAGAGTGTCCCCATCTCCCTCCCTGCCGGCAGCCCGGATGGAAGCCAGATGTACTCTGATGTCTCCCAGCAAGAATTTACTGCTCATTAAAAAATAATCTGTGATACAGTTTCCCTGAAGGAACAAAAGAGCATCATCACCCTCTTGCACCATATGAAATGTAGACGCCTGAGCCGCAGCCAGCTGGCAGAGCGCTGCGCAAATGCTGATGCCGGCAATATGCCTTTGAAGAGGCTGGAAGCCTAGATGGAATGGTCTCACAGGAGTTCAGTAGTCACTCTTCTTTTTTTTTTGGTCTCATGAAGCAGCGTCCAAATTGCAGAGCTGTAGAGCAGTCGCAGCAAGGAAAGAAGAGGAGAAACTGATTTTATTTCTTTTTTTAATCTGTTGGTTTATGAATAATGTTTTACTGTTAGCCGGTCTGGGGGTGTCAGCTTAAAACACCCCTTTTGGCAGGGATTTGAGAAGTGCTGGCTGGACAAGGATGGCATGAGCAGCTCCCTGGCAGCTCACTGACCTTTCGGGGGTAGGCAGCAGGATCTCTCCATGCGTGCGCAGGAGGCAGGTCGTGCAGGAAGCCGCAGAGCCATTGCCCTGCCCTTGCCCTCAGCCATGGCTGTGTTGTTGGCCTGCTGCCCACACAGTGTCCTCGGGCAGACCCTGATGGCCAAACGGTGCTCTTGGGTGTTTGGGTGCAAATGGGCTTTTGTGGGGTCTGGTCCGTCACCCTTTTGAGAATGAGATCACACATTGCCCTTTTCCTTGACCAAAACTTCTCCCCCTCTCCCAAAATACACATCAATGTGTGTGAATAGGTGTTATAAACATTGCAGCTTCTATTGTTTTTGTTAAAAAATGGGATGTATTCAACCAAAAGCAAATAATGAGTGTGTTTATTATTTATAACCCACGTTTCTGGCTGCTTTGATGGGAGCGAAGGTCAGGCAGACAAAAGAGGTTGCTGGTGGGAACCTTGAATGCCGGAGTCCCTGTGCCCTGCAGCTCCAGCAATTGCTGTCCCCTCTTTTCCAGCTTGTCAGTGCTCCCAGGAGGGCTCTCTGCACAGCACCTGCGACCAGGAGACGGGGCAGTGCAGCTGCCGGCCCGGAGTGACGGGATTGCGCTGCGAGAGCTGCGTGCCGGGCGCCTATGGATTTCCACACTGTGAAGGTAGCCACTTCTCCTCCCTGACAGGGTCGGGGGGGACTCCAGTGTCTTGGGACATAGCAGTGCTGGTAAACCATAGAATAGTTTAGGTTGGAATGGGCTTATCATCCCCCAAGAGCTTTTGCAAGGGAAGAAATAACTCCCTTTAGGAACTGCTGGGGTGAGCTCCTTCTATAACTCCCTCTTTGCATCTCTCTTTTCCAGTGGGCTCCTGTAACCCAGCAGGGTTGGTGACTGCAGATCCCTCACTGGCCCCAGTAAGTATCAAGTGAACCCACCAAGCCCTGCAGGTCATTTTTGTGTGTGATCCTCGTTTACTCCCTTTGGGCCAAGTCCTTAAGCACAGCCTGAAAACAGTCACTGCCCACACCAGAGTAGCAGACACTGCGTTCTGTCACCATGCCACAAAGTCTCACCTGCTCTTCCCTCCCTTTCCCCAGGGCTCCTGCGCGTGTCGGGCGTACGTTGAAGGCCCAGCTTGTGACAGATGCAAACCCTTATACTGGAACCTGACTCCAGAGAACCCGTACGGCTGCACGAGTAAGGGAACGGCATTTGTACAGCCCCAAAAAGTCCCCTCCGTGCTGTAGTGGTGCAAGACCCAAACCCAAGCCAGTGGGGACCATCACTGCTGGATGGAAGCAATACCCTTCCTTCTTTCTTCACCCTGAAGTCACCTATCAAGGCTGGAGTGGTCTGGGTAACCCCCACTTGAAGAGGGGAAAGACTGGAGCCTGGAGCTTTTTGCTTGGGATGAAACGCAGGGCTCGTGCAATGAGTTGTGTCATTCTCAGCCCTCCCTGCAGGCTTTGCACACTTCATTTTTATGGCCAAATGTACAGAAAAGGCAAATGTCTTTGGTAGTTGTATCCTCAGCAGTAACTGTCCAGAAAGAAAAGAGAGCCCTTATGCAGCCCTACCCCGTACCTGACCAGTTCCCAGCTCCTCTTATCCCAGCTGGTGTCCTCTGGAGTGGTGGGTACTGTCTCCCATCAGGCTGCTTCTCAGGGTCTGACTGATCTCCTGGCTTTCTTGTTCATCTCCCTCTCTGCAGGCTGCAAGTGTGATACCAAGGGCACCCTCAGCGGAATCGCAGAGTGCCAGCAGGTGGGTTTTCTCCAATTCCACGTGCGTGCTGGGTTGGGAGTGTCTCAGCTCCATCTCTCCCAGCAGCTGCTGGAGAGGCCTGGCCTGATGCTGAGCTTTCAAAGGTTACACCACAATCTGGGCTTGCATGAGAACATAGGATTAAGACCTGTCATAAATTAGGCACCTAAATATTTCTGGGTCTGGCCCAGATGCCTGGATTTTTGTTTGCCTGCATTGTTGGGTAATTTAACTTATCTGGCCCACCCACGCGCAGGAAGCAGTGTAGAGCATGAAACTCAAAATGCTTTTCCAGTGTGTCAGACTGGGACCCAAATAACTGAGAAACGGCTTCACCGTGCCGAACGACAGGAAGTGATGAGCTTCCGTGCCTGCTCTCTCCTAGGGCGATGGGCAGTGTTTCTGCAAACCGAACATCTGCGGCCAGTTCTGCTCGACGTGCAAAGACGGCTACTTCAATATGGAGAATGCAAATTACTTTGGCTGCCAAGGTGAGCCCCCGTTGTGATGTGTCGGGTGAAGGAGGGGGGCCACAAGTGGCTCCGTGTATGCCAACTGACTGTTGACCTTGGAGGGAAGGGCCAGGAGATGTCCCACCTCTTGCTTTCAATCATACCATGGCCCAGAGCAGAGTCTGGGTCTTGCCTGGGGATCCAGAGACGCGAGTTCATGCTTTTGCTACCGTTGGACAATGAAAAATCAGGAAAGGTGCCCCTCGGGTACCAGAAAATTGTGTTCTAACCACTGGCTATGTCCTTGCAGCTCTACCCTTTCCTCTTGTTGGGAGCAGGTGAGCATGGACACGTGGGTTTGACTGCTCTCCATCATGCCCATGGGAAGTAGGGAGAGATGAGATCCGGATGCTCTCAGCCAGCCCACATGGTCCTGGCAGGGGTGGGAAGAGGGAGCAAGGCTGCTGTTGGCGGCAGGGCTGCGGCACCCAGCCATGAGGGTTTGCAGACCTTGTTCCTCCCGCAGCCGTCTGGAAATAGCTTGGTGCTGAGGTGGAAGAGGAGCTGATCCAAGTGGGGCCGGGGCCAATATGAAAATGGATACAATGGAATAAAAATAGCGGCCCCAGCCCCTTCGTCTGCTGGGGCATGCCTGTGATGAGTGACTGGGAGCTCGTTAGTGTGGCGGGAATGTAAACAGGCACTTCCTGTCCGCAGGCTGCCGGTGTGACGTTGGCGGGTCCCTGGGGCCATCCTGCGAGGAGCGGAGTGGAGCCTGTCGCTGCCGGCAGAGCACCCGCGGAGCCACCTGCACCCAGTAAGCTGCTGGTGGGAGATGCATCTCGGGGTGCTGTGCCACCTTCTCACTCCCTTGGGAATGGTGTTCTTGGCCACCATAGGGATGGGGACCGCGTTGTCCAGGCTGCTGCCACATCAGCCACGTGCCCACTGGGAGGGGGAGTCCTCTTGCCTTGACCCTCCAGGTAGCCCGGCAGGTAACGGTGCTCCCTCTCTTCCCCAGACCCGCACGTGACCATTACTTCCCTGACCTTCACCACTTGAAATTCGAGCTGGAGGAAGGCACCACACTGGCCGGGCGGGCTGTGCGGTTCGGCTACAACCCCTTGGAGTTCGAGGGCTTCAGCTGGCGAGGATACGCACAGATGTCCTCCATCCAGGTACGCCTGGTGCCTCCATCCCAGCCCGGCTCCCCCACGGGAGGATGTGGCCTGGGGAGGACTGATGTGCTTTTGGCACACATCTTTCACCCCGAGTGCTTCTCAAACCCCCAAAGTCCCAGGTTGGCCAACATAAACAGCACAGTGTATATATAGCCTGTTTGCACAGGTACTTCCTGTAGTGCTGGGGACGGCACAGACTGATGAGGGGAAAGATCCTAAATTAGGAATCCCCTGACATCCTAATCCGGTTAGACAAAGATGGTAGCTTGGTGATTACTTACAGGGATGTCTATAAACACTGTCTCTGGGTTTCCTTGCAGCTCTTTATCCGACTCTGCTCTTTCCTGCAGCTCTCTGCATAACCTTCCCTCCCTTTTCCAAAAATAAATTAGCTCCTCCTTAGCTGCCCTGTTCAGCTTGGACCTCTTGTTACTATTCTGCCTCTGCTGTTGTTGTTAGCTAGTTTGCTGTAATGATGGTTTACACTAACGTGGAGTTGCCTAAGCCCTAGATATGAAGCTGTTTCATCTGTTGACCCTTTTTTCTCCTCGGTGGATTCTTCTGCATGGCCCCTGCAGAACTGTAGCCTCTGTGTGTGTGTGTTTGGGGATGTGGTGCAGGGCAGCAATTCTCTGACAGTCTTGTCCCATGTAAGATGTTCTTTATTCTGTGTACTTTCAGTTTTCTTCACTTTTTCATGCTTAGGTAAAATAACAGGAGTCAAATGTGTTAGCCATTTCCTATTGAATTTGTAGGTAGGAGCTAAGCAACTCACTCCTGTAGGCTCCCAGCCTCAAAGGTTAAGGATGGAGCTCATGCTCAAGCTCCTGGCTTTTGTTTTGCATCCAGTGTTGGCATGTGAGATAGAAGCAGGCCTTGACAGAAGGGCTAGCACATGGCTTTCTGCTGGCAAGTCCCACCTGTAGTGTCCTCTCTGCCAGATCCTTCTAGTTTGCTCTCCAGTGGGAAGATTTGTGTAACTGGGGCTTCAGGGAACTCAGAGCCCTGATTCGGAGTCTCCCTGGGCAGAGACTTTGCCCTTTGCCCTGTAGGCTGGAGGGTACTTAGGCAGGCACTTAGATCTCTTGGAAATGCGTGGGACTTAAGCCTCTGCTTAACTGGGGTCTTCCCGGAAAGTTCAGGTGGGCAGAGGGCTGATGCCATGAGTGGCACATTCCCTTAGCACCACTAGTCCTTAGCATTGCGGGTTCCTGGGGACGAGGCACCGGCTCCGTTGGCAGCCTTCTCAGTAGCCATCTGTACGCACAAGGGCAAGCGCTTCAGCGTTTGGTACCCGCTGCCTGCTCGTGGCACACGGAGTCCAGAAGCAACATGCCGTTAACAAAAGCAAGGACTTCTGAAAACCTTTCCTCTGGCGTGGCATGCGCCCCAGGAGAACCCAACCATCCCCCTGTGCCAGAGCATCTTTCAGAGCCTTTCCCCCCGCTTCCCGCAGGCAGGTGGCTGGCCCCGAAAGGGATGGTGTCACGAGGCACCCGTGCCGTGACTGTGTAGGGCTGGCGTGCTTGTCTCCTTGCGCTGTGGCATGTTGCTTGGGGAGCAGTGAGCCGAGCGGCTGCGCTTGGGCTGGTAGCTCTTGGCGGTGGAGGTAATTGAAGGTGTGCTCTGCTTCTCTCCCCTTTCTCTCTCCCACCAGCCCAAGGTAGTGGTGACTCTCAATGTGACTTCCCCCGACCTCTTCCGCCTCGTCTTCCGCTACGTCAGCCGGGGGCCCGCCAGTGTGGAAGGGAGGGTCTCGGTCGTTGAGGAAGGAAAGTTTAATGTTTGTGGCAACTGTAAGTGCATTTTTCACTTCTAGACTAACTCAGAGCATCCCACGCTGTGACGCTGCTCCTCTGCCCCTTCTCCCGTCCCAGGTGTGCCCGTCCCAAGTGTGCCCGTCTCAGGTGGCCGTGCCACGGGATGTCGAGGGAGGGGGAAGAGAGGCAGGCAGGCAGGCAGGTAGGCAGGCGGGTAAGGCTCTCCCGCAGAGCGGGTGAGCGGCCAGGAGCTGGCTCCCCAGTGACGTGTGCCCCGTCTGCTCTTTTGCTTTTTGCAGAATAAAATCAGAGTCACTGTAGACGTGAAGGAGGCAGAGCTCTATCTGTTCCATGTCATCCTGAGGTATATTAATTCAGGAGGGGCCACTGTGTATGGCAAAATTACAGCTTATCAGCCACGAAGGAGAGGTAAGGATCCCAGACTGCTCTGCTCCCCTGCACCATCGCCACCTCCTCCCCATCCCAGGCAACCTTCTGCATCATCATTTTGAGAAGACACTTCTGTATGGCTTTACCCATTACTCGTGCCCTTCCAATTGCGTTTGCAGCCCCCTGTATTTAACAAAGCAGCAGCAAGCTGACCCCCAGTCCTGAGGCTGCACACTGAGGGCTCTTACCAGCCAGGCTGCCGTGAGATAAGGCTAATGTACGATTCCATAGAACCCTTCCAGCATGGGACAAGATCACCCCAGTGCCCCAGGCAGAAATGAGCTAAGTTTCCACAAAACCGTAATGGGCCAAGTACTGGGAACTGGATACAAGCTTTGGAGCTGGACATGGTTTTATTTCACAGGTGCCAGAATGTGGCAGTCCTGCCCTTGCCTTGAGCTTCTCCCAAACTGGGCTGCTGGCTTCACGCGTGGTGTGGGGGTTGGAAGTGGTGTGGAATTGCACATTATACAGGCTTCGCACTCTGGTGCAATGTCTTATCAAGCCATGAACTGCTGGAGAAGAAGAGCCACCAAACGATGGCTGACCCAAAGCCTGGAGACCTGGACAACAGATACCCTGGGAGTCAATACAAGCGAGACTGCACGTGCCCTAGTGAGCGGCTGGCGGATTGGTATTACCCCTACTGATGCTACAGCCACATCGTCCCGCTGAAGCTCTTCCTCCAGACCGTACATACACAGCATGAGGCTGTCAACACCAGCTGCCTAATTATACTAGTGTGTGAGGTTCTCCCCTGTCTTCAGTTGACAGAGGTGGTGTTTTGCCTTTGATGCGATATGCAAGGTTTGAAATGCCAACGTACTACTTTTTCTTCTTTTTATTTTTTTTTTTGAGGGGAAAAACAGCTGGTTATTTTTATGGGCAGTCCTATTATGCAGCAGAAAGACAAGAGAAGCGTGAGCCATGCTCACACTCTAGGATCCCACCAAAAGTCAGGAAGTATTTAATCTGTCCTATTCAGCAGCAGAGCTAGTTTGCCTTATCATGTGCGTCCCTCCCTGCTCAGAAGCAACGTTTGATTTTCTAGTGCTGAGGGCACACTGCCAGGCTGATGCACCAGCCCTGGGATCCGGGAGGGCAGCTTCCTTCATAGGCCAGATTGGCTCCAGAAATGCTGAGCCATGTTCTGCCCAGGTGGAATGGGGTCCACTTGGTAAAGGACAAGCAGCCTGGAAAGAAGATGAGTTGGAAGATGCAGCTTGCAAGAAGGGAAGCCTTTTCCGAGTATATGATTTGCAGACTGGTTTCTCCCACCCCACCTCCAGAAGCCATCTGGGTTTGTTGTGGATCATCTCAAAGGGATGTGAAACTTCAGCTTGGCAAGAAGTCTGCCCCATTACCTGTCCAGGGAAATCTATTCATTCCTTGCATCCTCACCTCTGCTTCCCATCTGGGAAAGCGAGGGCTCAGCCTCAGCTGACGCCAGGCATGTCACAGAGCTAGCACACGTGGGAAGGGGCTGACCCATTTCAGCACTAGCACAATCCCATGCTTTAGCTTCTGGCCCTCTGTATTATGCCTTGATGTGCACGTACCACACGAGGATAGTCAGTGTGCCGCATTCCCTGCTTCCTTCTTCATCTCATCCGCTCGCCGTGCAGCCATACTCCGTGAATTCCTCTCACCCATGCTCTTCACAACGCTCCTGAGGCTGCTAAGCAGGCAGGCAGTTTGCTTCTAGGTGCTGTACTGTCATTGCATCCAAAGGTAATGAATTCAAAGGTTATGGACCGTGTCAGCTGAGCCGTGGAGCTGTTCGACAGCAGCTGGATCAGGCCTTAAACCTGTTCTGTTCTGCCAGTTTAAAACTAATGTCTAAATCCTCAGGTGCAGTCTGTGGCTGGCAAGACAGACAGGAGCACAGCCTGGGGGTCTGAGAGTTTGCCAGAAGACAGGTAGCTCGCCTGTGGAGCTGTGGTCAGAATACCCCCAAGGAAGAACATATCTGGGCAATTCTTTTTGTCTGTCTCAGAATACATTTTTCACAGATGAGTTCCTTCCCTCTCTAGGTGGTAAAACACTCCTTGGCATGCAACACTCCATGCTTTGCAGTCCGGGGATGCAGAGCACACTGAGCACTCTGGATTAGCATTAAGGATTGCAGTGATTTATGGTTTTTTCTCCCATTAAGCTACTGAGCAGATTCAGAGTGGATGTCTGTGACAGTGTGGGACTGTGGTGCATCTGCTACAGCAGCGATGAGAGAGCAGGAGCCTGGGACTCCCTGCTGCACTACAGAGCTGCTTCCCAGAGTGTAGCCTCCTATTTGCAGCCCCAGGTTTTCCATCCCAGTTCCTTCACAGCCTCTCATCCCTCTCGCTTTAGGTACAGAGCAGACCAAGCAGATTGTCTTTGCTCCCAGCACGGAGCCAGCCTTTGTCACCGTCCCCCAGAACAGCTTTGGGGAGCCCTTCGTACTCAACCCCAACACCTGGTCTCTGGTTGTTGAAGCAGAGGGCGTGTTGCTGGTAAGGACCAGACCCCGTGCTCTGTCCATCACAGGGGGGGCTTCAGCAGCTCCCTGGGGCAAGTGTCCCAAACATAACCAACTCTCCCATCTCTCATCCTAGGATTATCTGGTTTTGCTACCCAGCTCGTACTATGAAGCTCCAATCCTGCAGCTGAAGGTCACAGAGCCGTGTACCTACCAGCCAGCCCCAGAACAAGCCACACAGAAGTAAGGATCTCCACATCTTTGTGCTGTGCAGGACCTACTTGGCTCCTCTTGGACTGGGGTTAAGAAATATATACGATCCACACTCTGTGAGGGTCTGGAAGCAATAAAACTGCTTCGTGGAGCACTTTGCCATGGTTCATAAAGCCTGTTGAACCTGCGCTGTCCCAAAAAGCCAACGCATAGGTGTCCTCATCCATGGCACAGACAGCCTATGTGCTCTCGTGGCCATGGGAGGGTCAGCTCACTCAGTAGGACCATAGCCCTCTCCTCTGCTGGGCTGGGTTCTCAGTGCCAGGTTCCATGTCAGTCAACAGCCCTGGAAAATGGCCAGAATGAGTTAGGTCGTGCTGGACTATTGAAAATGAATGGGCAGAGTCTGGTAGTGCTTAGAGCATCTCAGTGCATCAGTTTGCTCTGCCCAGGACCTCTCTGTCCTTGGCAGGAAGGCTGGTCAGGCTCTGGACACCAGTTGTCCCCCCCACTATAGCAGTGGGGTCCCCAGGCTAAAGCACATTGCAAGGGGGAGCAGCTCTTTGTCGTTACTGCCACCTTGGGTCCTGTAATCTGCAGTCTCTTGCTCCACACTAACTGGAGACGTTCCTTTAGGCAGTGGAGCCTTCGAGTTGCACCAAAGCCTTTTGCAAACCTTGCTGGGATCAGGCTTTGTGGGTGCTCTTGGCCCTTACAATCGTGATGTAATAACCATGCTTTGCAATTTGTTTCTGCAATGTTTTTAGCTGCCTCTTGTATAAGTACCTGTCCGTGGATGGCTTCCCTGCTGCGTCAGGGGTGGACGCGGTGTGCAGGCTGGACAACCGGTTACCCAGAGCGTGTCCCGCAGCGCAGCTCACCCCCTCCCATCCCCGGATGGCGACGTGCAGCGGCAGTGATGTGAGTGACACGTGGGTTTCATCCCTCGCCTGGGCGCTGGGGCGCTCATCCCCCAGCTCCCGCCGTCCAGTGCTTTACATACACCCGGGCAGGTTACCAAAGTGGCTTTTCACCCACGTACACCCCACTGTTGCCCCCCTCACTCTTGCAGATGTGTGTTTGCATGCCCTGTTGTTGAAGGCACACAAAAGCGGTGTCTCACGTGTAAAGGGCTCGGTATGTGCTAAGAGTTCCTGTTGTCCCCTCAGCTGCAGGGGCTGGTTTGCAGCACAGGCATCACGTACACACTCACTGTGTGACAGGAGACTCCTGCTCAGTGTTCCCTCTGTCTCTCAGGTGGAAGTCCAGCTCTCCCTTCCTGTTGCCCAGCCGGGGAAGTACGTGCTGGTGGTGGAGTACGCCAACACCAACGCCTTGCAGACGGTGGGCATTGCTGTGAGCTCGCCACACTTAGCCATGCAGCAGGGCACATTCATCTTCTACCCCTGTGCCTACAGGTATGGTCAGCTCTGCAGTGGAGAAAGGGTTCAGTCCTCTGACATGTGTAAACTCATTCCAGCTGGTCACAGATTTTAGTGACTGTCCATCCCTGAGGAATACATGGCATCCCTGGCACACTACCTGTGCCAACACAGTCCTCTAATGCCTCTGCCAGGAGACAACCTGCTGCTCCCCTTTACAGCTGGGTGCGTTGGTAGGGTTCCTGATTTAGGGAATGACCTCTGGGCAGGTTTGTTGAAGCTGTTGGTGCAGGTCAAACCCTGTCCCTTGCTGTAAAAGTGTCTGACTTCAGATAGGAAACAAATGTCTGGGCTGTCCTTGGGAAACTTCACTCTTATGGCCTGCCAGAAAAGACATCAAAAGATTTACAGAGACTTTGTATAAATACCTTCAGGACATACAGCTGGCAAGACAAGAGATGGGTTGTGACCCTGCTCAAGGCTGCCTTCAAAAATCGGTGTTTCTCTTACAGTTTCCTTTGTCGAGGGATTGCTGTAGATTCCCAGAGCCGCATGGCAACTTTTGAGCTGACCTCAGAGGCCACCATTCGCTTCACATCTGATCTGGCTGACTTCTTCCTGGTAAGGCTACTGGCAAGGGTGGGTTGCCAGGAGAGGCAGGAGCGGTACCTAGCCTGTAGAAGGGTTTTCTAGTGCTCTTTAGGCTGGATACTAGAACTGCTCTATGTCCGGAGGAGTCCAAGGTGGAGAATGCAGTCAGTGGTGTGTCTTGAAGCAGATCATGGGACAGGCATTTGGGAGAAGCTGCTCTTTGCAGAGGGAGCTTTGCAGCAGTGTGGCAGTGCCTCTTCCTGTTTTTACCTTGAAGGCCAGTTGCTTAGCCAAGGATAGAAGAATCCCATAAATATCTGAAGCTCCTAAATGCCTTAGGGCTTGTGACAAGGAAGAAGGGGCAGTAAACAGAGGTGTGACCTGCTGTGCATTAGCTGAAGTGTCTGATAAGGAGGTGCTCAGTGTGGTCAGCTGGTGGGCACAAAAACTGCTGTGGGCTGTCAGTGGCTGCCGTGTAACCGAGCATCTCTCTCTGATATGGCAGCACAAAGTGTACCTCATCCCTGCTGCACAGTTCACCATGGAGTTCATTGAGCCGAAGGTGCATTGCATCAGCGTCCATGGCACGTTCTCATCCAACAGGTAAGTGTCTTGGGTCCCTCAGGGTTTTAGCATGAATGTGGCTGTTTCCAAAAGCAATTGCTTACTCCACGGTTGTTACAGGGTGTGCTTCTGCTCCCCATTAGCCTCTGTCTTTCCTGGTCAGAGATCTTTACATCCCATTTTCTCCTTCTTTTGCAGCAGCTCCTGTGTTCCCTCAAGGTTCCTGAAGCTTTCTCAGTCAATTATTTTGGAGGGGGGCCAGGCTCTGCCCATTGCTCCTGACATCCCCCTGGCTCAGGCTGTTCATGTGGCTCTAGCTGGGGTCCCAGTGGAGCCTGCACCTCGGCCTCCCACGGCTGTGGACCCTGCTGCAGAGCTCATCCTCCTGCAGCCACCGCAGGTAGTGGCATGAGTGTGGGTTGGGCTGGTTTGCTGCACCCGTGGGGTAGGGAGAAGTTTTCCTTCTCTATTGAGTAGCTTTAGCAATTAGCAATTTAGCAATTGCATTTTCAGCATTTGGTTTGGGCTTTAAACTTGTGCCTGAACCTGTAGTTCCCGTGGACTCTCCTGTCTTAGCTCCATCCAACCCTGCTTGGTTCCCTGGGCTCCCAGGAAAAGCTTTGCAGGTGGCACTATTGGGGGGGGAGTGTGGAGGCATGAGGGGGCAATTCAGCAAAAGTCTCAGGACCTGACAGTTGTGCAATAAGAGCACAAATTTATGCAATAATAAAAAACATTCCAGCTGTGAGTGCAGGCATCAGTTTTGGGGTTTTGTCTCTTTGTTCTCCTGTTTTGGGCCAGGCTGCTGTTGCATTTAACAGTCGGATCCAGACCCTGGGACGCTACGCTTTCATCCTACACTACTACCAGCCCAACCACCCCACCTTCCCCGTGGAAGTGTTAATCAACGGTGGGCGCATCTGGCAAGGTGAGACGAGTGGAGAGCTGAGGAAAGCTCCTCGTAGGTGGAAACTTTGGAAAGTTTTTGGTGCCAGAGAATAACTGTGGGTTCACTGAGGAGTGCAAAGATGAAGTAAGAAGGACTCATCTGTTCCAAACCGGGAGGGTGTGATGGGGACTGCAAGGGAAACATGGGACCAGTAGGTTTTTTCTCTTTTCAGGTCAGACCAGTGCTGCTTTCTGCCCACATGGCTATGGGTGCCGGAGCCTGGTAGTTTCTGAGGATCAGATTATCCTGGATGTTACTGATAATGATCTGACTGTCGTCGTTCGTGTGCCAGAGGGCAAGCAGCTGTGGCTGGTGAGCCTCTCTCTGGGAAGATCATGGGACATGCTGGACCAGGCTCCAGCCACGTGGCTCCAGCAGGGCTGGAGTTTGTCGTTGGGGATTTTTGTCACTGTGTGACCACAGCAATGTTTCCCACCATCACTCACTTCCTGAACTATCCAAGAAAGTTGCAGTCTCCAACCATAGCAGTGTAGGATTAAGGGCAGGATTCACAGAGACGGGGTCTGTATATGGCAGTTATCCTTCACTGTGTGATTTTAATACCAAAGCAAAGCAGATGTGGAAACTTTTGCTTTGCATATGTAGCTTGTGATAATCCAGAATAAGACTTATTCCTACCCCAGTAATATTTTGTACCTGCAGAGCATTGTTTGTCCAGGCAGTTATCATCCTGGGAGCAGGTAGCCCTTCTTGTGCTCAGGCAGCAGGACTTGATTGATCAAAATTAGGATAAATGGCTGAAAGACAGAATTAGAACCCAGGTGCCTTCATGTCTAGGAGTTTGAGATAGCAGTGACTGCCTGCCTCTGTGCTGAAGCACAGCCAGTGGCTGCCCTTTTGGGGTATTCTGCCTGGTTTTCACTCCAGTGAATTTGGTCCACCCCTCACATGGAGCATTAGATGGACCCTGAGGGACAGACCTCAATGGAGGGGTGATCCCTGGTCTTTCCAGTACTCAGGTACTTCATGTGTTGTATTCTGTCCCAGCAAGGGATGAGCTGATAAGAAGCTGAAGGTACATTTTGAGTGAGCTCATTGTGGACAGCATCTGTGTGGCTCAGCTCAGGAGCCTGGTTCACCCATCGTGGCCTTGCTTTGCAGGATTACATCCTTGTGGTCCCTGAGGACAGCTACACCTCTCAGTACCTGCAAGAGGAACCCTTGGACAAGTCCTATGACTTCATCAGCAGCTGTGGCATCAACAGCTTCTACATCAAGTGAGACCTTTGGCTCTGGGTGGCTGCTCTGCTGTCTGCAGGCTGCACACTCCTCGGGGAGCAAAACCCCACTCCCTTGGTGTGTGTCAGGGGAGGAATCATAGAATCTTTTGGGCTGGAAAAGACATTTAAGATTATGAAGTCCAACTGTTAACCCAGCACTGCCAAGTTCACCCCTAAACCATGTCTATAAGTGCCACTTCTTAAATCCCCCCAGGTATGGTCACTCCCCCACTCCCTTGGACAGCCTGTTCCAATGCCTGACAACCCTGTCAGTGCAGAAATTTTCCCTAATATCCAATCTGAACCTCCCCTGGCGCAATTTAAGGCCGTTTCCTCCTGTTGCTTGGGAGAAGAGACCAACCTCCCCCCATTCTCTGCACCCTCCTTCCAGGGAGTTGTAGAGAGCGATCAGGTCTCCCCTGAGCCTCCTCTTCTCCAGGCTGAACACCCCCAGCTCCCTCAGCTGCTCCTCACTGGAGTTGTGCTCCAGACCCTTCCCCAGCTCCATTTCCTTCTCTGGACACACTCCAGCCAAAACCAGGCCCACGGTGTCTTTCTTGCAGTGAGGGGCCCAAAACCGAACCCAGGATTCCAGCTGTGGGTATTTGGGGGATCTCAGTATCACAGGCTCTGTCCCACTAGTTCAGTACCCATTGCTGTATGAGATCCTGTTGGATTTTGGGGTGGTGGGGAGGTTGTCGGGGTGTGCAGCAAGGTGATTCCTCCTGCCTTCCCCTGCAGCCCCAGCACATCGTCGAGGTTCTGCCGTGACTCTGCCATCTCGCTCTCCCTCTTCTACAACAACGGGGCACAGCCCTGCCGGTGCCATGAGGCCGGGGCGCGAGGCAGCCAGTGCGAGCCCTTTGGCGGGCAGTGTCCCTGCAAGTCCAACGTCATCGGGCGAGAGTGCTCCCGCTGTGCCACCGGCTACTGGGGCTTTCCCAACTGCAGGCGTGAGTTGTCCCGTCTCCTGCCCTGCTTTCCCAGCACTTGCTGGTTTGCTTCTTACAGGGCTGAGGCTGATTAGGGAAAGGGCTGCATTTTCCATCCCTGCTCCACTTCAACAGCCCAGCTGCCCATCCATTGCCTCATATGCTCTCCTTGGGCTACCTCACTGTTTCTCCCCCAAACACAGCCCCTTTTTTGCCCCTTCCAGCCTGCGACTGTGGCACACGTCTCTGCGACGAAGTGACAGGGCAGTGCATTTGCCCTCCGCACACCCTGAAGCCAGAGTGTGTTGTCTGCGAGCCCCAGACCTTTGGCTGCCATCCCCTTGTCGGCTGCGAGGACTGCAATTGCTCTCGGCCCGGTGTGCAGGAGCTGACGGAGCCAGGCTGCGATGTGGACAGCGGGCAGTGCAGGTGAGGGAGCCCTGTCCTTGCACCGGCCATCTCTGGCAGCATCCCTGGTCCCTGAAGCGATGGGACAGGTCGGGAGGAAATGTGCAGGATGGGGAAATTCAATCAGTGCTGTGTCAGTGCCAGCACGGGTGCAGCCCGGCTGCTCCCCACCCAGCAGCACGAGGCAGAGGTTTCTAACGCTGTGGCTCTTGCGTCCCACCCAGGTGCAAGCCCAACATCATCGGGCGACAGTGTGACCTCTGTGCCCCTGGCTACTACCACTACCCCAACTGCCGGCCGTGTGACTGCCACCAGGCTGGCACTGCAGCGAGCGTGTGCGACCCGGTCACGGGGCAGTGTCACTGCAAGGTCAGTCCCTCTGTGCCTTCACGCGGTGCCTTTCTCCTGGGCTTGACGCTCCTGCTCTGGCTGTGGGTGTCCGCTGTGCCGGGAGGCAGCGGGGCTGGAGAAGGAGTGTGGCTGTGTACCTGTGCTGCAGCCAGCCCGCTCCACATGGTGATGGGTTCAGAGCACCCTGAAAGACTCCTTCTCCCCATCTTTCCTGGCCGTGAAGGCTTGCTCTTTGCGCTGTCACTGGGGAGACGGGCAGCCTGGGTCCAGCCCTGTGTCAGAACCTGCTGCAGGTAAAGCTGTCAGTGCTGTGCCTTCTGCTCCTGCATGACAGCAGAGTAGCTCAACTGCTGCTGAGCTGCCTGCTCCAGCCCCTTTGCAGGGCTCCCAAGTGCTTTCTCCAGGTGGATTTAATGTTTGATGGGTGGTATGCAAGCAAACCTGTTCAGGGACTGCATAATCGTCTTTCAGCATCACATCGTTGTGCTTGGCTCACTCGTACAGCTGTCCCTCTCCTCCACTAAGGCCTCAGGAAAAGCTGCTGACACTGCTGAGCTTTGTTTGTCTTCCAGGAAAATGTGGAGGGCCCGAGGTGTGACCAGTGCCGCCTGGGAACATTTTCTTTGGAGGCCAGCAACCCCAAGGGCTGCACCAAGTGCTTCTGCTTTGGCGCGACCGATCGGTGCCGCAGTGCTGAGAAGCACCGAGCTGAGGTGAGAGGGGCTGGGGGTTGCCAGAGCCTGCGGTTCGGTTGTGTTCCCATCAGCCCGGCTCCCTGCTGCCCTTGGGTCTCTGTCCTGTGTCAATCCTACCCCTCTGGAAGACGCACTGTGAGGAGGGTTATCTTTGTCTTCCTGTGCCCATCTCCCACTTTCATCCCCTTTTCCTGGTCTCTGGGGTCTCAGGGTGGGAAGTCGTGGTGTGGGGGGACTGTGCCAGGCGGGAGGTGGGGCTGGTGCTCTGGCTTTCCAGTGGCTTCACCAGGATGCGTGTGAGGTTGTGAGCCTGTTACCATCCTTCCTGCTGCTCTGGGACGTGCTTTGCTGGACATCAGTACCTAAATACTTTCCGTAGCTGCACTAGAAGACCCACGGTTGCTCTTCCCCACAGTTCGTTGACATGAACGGGTGGCTCTTGTTGAGCAGCGACCGCCTGGAAGTGCCGACGACCCTGAGCCTGCGGGAGCAGCTCCTCCACGCTGATCTCAAGAACCTCCCGGATGCCTACCAGGACCTCTACTGGGTTGCACCCAGCTCCTACCTTGGGGACCGCGTAAGTCACAGCAGCGTCTGGGCCAGCAGTCACACGCATCCCTGACCCGCCGACGCACGTGCCCGCTGACACGCAGGCACTGCTCGCGCTGCGCCTGGGCACAGGCAGCGCTGCCCCGTCTCAGTGGTGCAGCCTTGCAGCACAACACGCAACGTGGCTCTCCCTTAGGTTTCCTCCTACGGTGGACACCTGCGCTATGAGCTGCACTCCAACCCTCGGAGGGGTGATGTCTTCATCCCCATGGAGTCACGCCCGGATGTGATCCTGAAGGTGCAGCCCGATAAATTCCCTGGTGCTCCCCCTTGCTAATGCATGAGGAGGATGAGGCGGTGACTGACGCCTTCCTTGCTTTTCTCAGGGAAATCAGATGAGCATCATGTTTCTGGAAGGCACGTACCCGTCCCCAGGGGAGGTACATGAGGGCCAGCTGCAGCTGGTGGAGGTGAGTTTGCACACACGAGCGCGTACCAAGTGAAGTGCTTGGATGCTGTAGAAATGACAAGACCAAGGTGTAGATAGAAGGGACAGCTGCTCTGAGCTCAGCACTTTAGGTGGTGCCTAGTGCAGCAGAACTGGCTGTGAAGATCCAGGTCTGTTTTACCTGGAGGCATCCCAGCAGCAGGGAAGTGAAGGTGCCTGTGCTTCCTGCCAGTAACATCAGGTCTTCTCCCATCAGGGTAACTTCCGGCACACAGAGACGCACAACCCTGTGTCCAGAGAAGAGCTCATGATGGTGCTGGCAAACCTGGAACAGCTGCAGATCCGGGCCCTCTTCTCCCAGCTCTCTTCATCCGTGTCCCTGCGCCGCGTGGTCCTGGAGATGGCAACAGATACAGCTACTGGCATCCGCGCCAGCAACGTGGAGCTGTGCTTTTGCCCAGCTAACTACCAGGGGGACTCCTGCCAGGTAGGGGTGACAGCAGACAGGCTGCTCCTGGCAGAGGGGGCTCAAACAGTCATATTTTGGGTCTCAGCCATCCCTCGTACCTGGTGTAGGTGGCAGCTCTGGGGTCTGGATGTTTGTGCAAAGCAGCGATGCCAGAGGATCAGCTTCCAAACAGACCCCTGAGGGATTCAGTTGAAATTACAGCTTAGGTTGGGCCAGAGGCAGGAACAACATCTCCCAGGCTCCCACACACACAACTCAGTGTAGCTGGGAGTGGTGTGTTAGCTGCATCTGCCCTCTTGCGTGAGACGTGATGGAGAAACCATTCAGGTGGTGCAGACCAGAATAAATTGCGTGCAGTACCTTGGAATAGGTCTGTCTGCCTAGCCAATTATCTCCTGTTAATGAGGAGCAGGAAGGAGCTGCACTGAAAAATCTTCATTTTTCAAATTCTTCATTACTTGGAGCAACCTGGTCTAGTGGAAGGTGTCCCTGCCCATGGCAGGGGGGTTGGAACTGGATGAGCTTTAAGGTCCCTTCCGACCCAAACCGTTCTATGATTCTATTCTATGATTCATTGCTGCTTTTAATCCCTTCTCCATCAGTACAGCCCTGTGGGAATTCTGTCATGGAAACTAAATTAGTCTCTTTGCTTTGCCTGAATGTATTGGGCTGTTTTTCAGATCTCTGTTTTTCCCTCTGTCCTCAGGAATGTGCTCCAGGTTACTACAGGGACACCAAGGGGCTCTTTCTGGGAAAATGCATCCCATGTCATTGCAACGGCCACTCAGATCAGTGCTTGCCAGGCTCGGGGATATGCCTTGTAAGTAAACAGCGAAGCAGCACGATGTTTGGGAGTTAGAATGTCTGTAGCATGTGATTAAAGACCTCTCCATGTTCGGCTGAGCAGCAGGACCGTGCCTGAATTGGAGCATTAGCTGCATATGCCATTTCAGGGTTGGTCCCACTCAGGGTCAGCATAGGGTGAAAGACAGTTCTGGGAAAGAGAAAGGAATTCTTGGTGCAACCCACCATTTCTTGCTCTCTGTGCTGGGCCCACAGCGTGGTTTTTCCTTGCAGAACTGCCAGCATAACACAGAGGGAGACCACTGTGAGCGATGCAAGGATGGCTATGTGGGCAGCCACTCTGCCGAAGAACCTCTACAGTGTGTTGGATGTCCATGCCCTCTTTCAGTTGCCTCCAACAAGTAAGCACCCTCGGATGGGATTGTCTGTGTGGCCTCACTGTTTAACCACTGGGAACCACGCTGTGCCACATCAGGGCACTGGCGGGGGTCCCAGTGCCAGCCTTGTCCATGGCCCCTTACCCAAGGCCACAGCAGCCCACACTGAGTGGTGGGCTCTGCGTGATCTGCCCCTTCCTGTTCCCCTCTTGTCATTTCAGTTTTGCCGTCGGTTGTGTCCGTAAGGGCTCCAGCATGCAGTGCCTCTGCAAGCCCGGCTACGCTGGACCCAACTGTGAGCGGTAAGGGCGATGGCACCCACGTTTCTGAGGCTGTGCACACCCAAGTGTCGTGCAGCCACTGCTGTAGTAGAAGTAAAGTTGTCCTAGTAGAGACTGCGAAGGGAATGATTGTCTCTGCCCCCATGTGCTGTACTCTGGCAAGATTTCTTCAGTCCTTTTCAGCCTGCAAATGCCCTATTGCTGTCTCCACTGCTGATTTATTGCATTACTGTGGGTGTATTACTTAGCTGTGCTTTGCCTCAACTTGCAGTCTGTGATAAAGGCACCTTTCTGGGGTCTAATGAGGCAAAACACAAAGTGCTTTGAGATCCCTGAGGGTTGCAGAGGTTGCAAGTGTTGGATGCTTGCTCTGTTCTAATTGCACAAGACTCAAGCATGGTGCGGGCATGACCTGTGGGGATCCCCCCCAATACCTGGCTATGTTTTAACTTGCCGTGTTTCTCCAGCTGTGCCCCAGGATACTACGGCAATCCCTTGGTGATTGGCAGCTCGTGCCAGCCCTGCGACTGCAGCGGAAACACAGATCCCAACATGCTGTTCAGCAGCTGCGACTCCCTGACAGGCGCCTGCACGGGGTGCATGCACCACACGGCCGGCCCACGGTGCGAGGTCTGCACCCCCGGCTACTATGGGGACGCGGTGACAGCCAAGAACTGCACACGTGAGTCGGGGGGATGGGCACACTGACTGTGTTTAGCACCTTAGCCAGGCTGCGTGTTGCCCTGATGAGACACGCGCTCGGCTGCATGCACTGCAGGCATCCTCCAAAGGTGATAATAAGTCAGCAAAACAACTCCAAAAAGCATCACAGCTCCGTAACCTCCAATCCATCCCTGAATGCAAACTGCCAAACCACACCAGGCTGGAACGGTCTTGCCCCCAGCAGCTGCTGCAGCAGCAGTGCTGGCACTCCCTTGGGAGCGTGGGTTTTCACAGCCCACTCCCAGCACTGCACATCCCCCTCCGAGGAAGAGCATCCAAATTGCAGCTTACACAAGGGAGTCTGCCTTGAGCAGGGGCCATGGGAATAAATTGTTGGCAGGAGCAAATCCAAGAGGAGAGGGGCTCTGTCGTTGTTGTGACTGTGATAGAGAAGTAGGATTCCCTGTCAGGAATAAGGTTGGTGAGTGGCTGAGCAGGTTCCTTGGCATATAACTGGGTATATTTTTCCCTGGCAGAGTGCAATTGTTCGCCTTGTGGGACAGAGTCGTGCCATCCACAAACCGGCCAGTGCTTCTGCAAGACTGGAGTGACAGGCCAACACTGTGACCACTGCGAGGTGAGGGCCCTCTGCATACGGGGGTGGTGCCTGGCCTTGGCACAGTACGAGGGGCAGCCCCTGGGTCGTCCCCAGGGCTGAGCAGAGTGGAGCTGGCAGGCGGCTACAGCGGGATTTGCATGATCTGCCTGTGCATGGTGAAAGCCTGTTAAAGATCTGGGCAGGACAAGGGGTAATGGGTTTAAATTGAAAGAAGGTAGATTTAGATTGGATGTAAGGAAGAAATTCTGCCCGCAGAGGGTGGGGAGGCACTGGGACAGGTTGCCCAGAGAAGCTGTGGATGCCCCATCCCTGGAAGTGCCCAAGGCCAGGCTGGATGAGGCTTGGAGCAACCTGGTTTAGTGGAAGGTGTCCCTGCCCATGGCAGGAGGTGGGACTGGGTGGGCTTTAAGGTCCCTTTCAACCCACACTGTTCTGTGATTCTGTGATGTGGCAGCAGCTGATGGAGGCAGTGTTCAGCTGCAGCCTTGGCAGTAATGTGGTATCCTTTGGGAAATCACAACAGCCCTCGTTTCCCTGAATGCATCCAGTGTGGGCATTGCAGGGCAGTGCTGCAGTGTCTCTGGGCTCTTACTGCAGCTCCACGCCTTTGCCATGCTGATCGGAGTTTTGGGG